CTCTGTAAAAATTGGTACCCCCCAAATACCACACCTAACATTAAATTAATCTAACTTAAAAAAGTAACATGTATGAAGGATATTTGAAACCATATTAAATACATGCATCACATTTGTGCACATAAATTTAGATTTGATTTTCAGAAAATCTTTAGTATATCTGATCAAAGCAAAGCCGAAATATTAGACGATGCAATTTGGATAAGTTTAGCTTCAAAAGTTTAAAGAAGCTTATATAATCCTTCTTTTATAAGAATATTGTCTCGGAATACAAAATCATTTTCATTAATTTTTAATTAATGCTTTGGTTTTGGGTTACCTGCCCCTGTCATGGTGGGTAGTGTTTTTCACTAATTGATATTATTTTATAAAATCTCGTTTAATATAATTTTCATCAATGAAATCAATTAAATGTAATAGTTCATTTCTTCCTATCAATATATTTTTTTCTTTCTTTCATTGTATACGATAGTAAATATATAAAAATGTACACTAATTCTTGAATTATGAAAAATTCAGTAAAGAGACACTACAAAATTTATTGTCCTGTTCTTAAAAAAATATGAAAATAAGTTCTGCGTGAAAAGTGTAAGATATTATCATTATCAACTTTTAAAACAGAAACACATTATTATGTTTTAATTCTAACTAATCATTTAACTGATTGGCATCCGATTACATGGAAACTCAAAAATTGCCCTAAATCCCCTTCTCATTTTAGTTCAAAGAAGACACTTATGCATCAACTGTAGTAAAATTATACTCACTGAGTATATTCTTTATTCTTCAAGAATACCAAACTCCTTTTCCTGATTTTTTTTTTATAATTTAGAGGATAAAACGTTAACACTCACGTTTATTCAAGTTTTGCTAGTAAATCAGCGATATCAAGCAAGCCACAGAGATAATGCATCACTGCCAGTGTGACAAAATATTTTAATCATGATATGAAATCTATAGGATTTTTAACAAGAGGCCCAGGGGCCACAGCGCTCATCTGAACACATCTGCTAGGAAAAAGCACATATCAATCTGCTGGGAAAAAGCACATATCAGATCAGAACTAAAAGTTTACTGAGGTTGGGGGGAGGCTTGAATTTTAACCCCCAGGGGATCATGATTTGAGCGAACTAGAATCTACATAACCTGAGGATGATTCCATATAAATATTACTAATCATGGCTTTGAAGTACTTAAAAAGAAGTTTTTTAAAAGGTTTCCCAATATATTCCTATGTAAAACTTTGATTGGCCATTTTGGCACCACTCTACCCTCGGGGGTCATGATTTGAATAAACTTGAAGCTATACTACTGATTCTAGATACATGAGTTTCATCTTTCCTGGCACATTGCTTCGTGAGAAGATTTTAAAAGAATTTTCCTATATATTTTTATGTAAAACTTTGATTCCCCATTGTGGCCCCGCCCTACCCCCGGGGTCATGATTTAAACAAACTTGAATCTACACTACCTGAGGATGGTTCCCTAAAGTTTCATCTTTCCTGGCACAGTGGTTCTTGAGAAGAAAGGAGTTTTAAAGATTTTTTTTCTTTATACTCTTTATGTTAATCTTTGATCGGCCATTTTGGCCCCACCCTACCCCCGGGGGTCATGATTTGAACAAATTTGAATCTACAGTATCTGAGAATGATTCCACATGAGTTTCATCTTTCCTGGCCCAGTGATTCTTGAGAAGGTTTTTAAAAAGCGCCGTTAATTTTTCACTTATTCATAATTATCTCGCCTTGGAAAAGGGCGTGGTCCTTCATTTGTACAAAGTTGAATTCCCTTTACCCAGAGGATACTTTGTAACAAGTTTGTTTGAAATTGGCCCAGTGGTTCTTGAGAAGAAGATGAAAATGTGAAAAGTTTACAACGACAACAACGACGACGACGACAACAACGACAGACAACGGACAAAATTTGATCAGAAAAGCTCACTTGAGCCTTCGGCTTAGGTGAGCTAAAAATTCACATCACGAATGAGACGACCTTAATTCATGGATAAAGAAAAATAGAATGTCATTAATAAAATAAACTTCTTTAGTTTTTATTTTTACCATCATTACAGTATACATGTAGAGATGGATTTTTCTGAATATGAATTAAGTTATAAAACTTTATTCTAATTTAATAGTGCATTATAATCTTCAGAATTATATTATTAGACAAATTATGGTTATATAGGAATTCAGATTGTGATCACAAAAATTATCTTTTTACATATTACGATCATGTCATAAAAAATAATTATAAATTAAACAGTATTAAATAACGTCAATTCACATGCTTTGAGAATTATTTAAGCCATTGACTTATTCCCAACATATTCATATCTTAGTCCGTTGTTGCAGCTGTAGTATTTTGATGAGATAAGCCGAATTTCGCACAATTTCACATTAATTTAAGGTTCAATTAAACACTTTTTTCCTATATTATGACAAATTGAAAAAATAACACCTGTAACATTTAAATTATTTGTAGTCGTTAAACTTATTACCCGGTATATAGATATTTTTATAAGTATTTTCTCGCGAATCGTATTATAGAAATCAAAACATTTAATTTGTATATTTGATGACCTTAACACTTCCACCATCATTATCCCCCACCCACAGTCGTCCCAGTGTGTCCAGACTCAGTGCTCCACAAAAAGCCAGAATACGGAGAAATTGACCATCCTGATCAATGATGTGGGTACAGGAATTACCGTAAACTTTTTCTATTATACGAGCCTCGAAATCTGTGACAATACTGGCGGGATCAAACTGTTTCTTCATCTTCTTTTGTCCTTTATATTGGAATCGAAGTTTTCCTGCCTTATTCACTACAACGACTTTTTTACCATTGCAATCAGAGGCACAGATGTCCCCGTTGTTGTTTTCCGTCACAAAGAGCATCATTTCACCTCTTTTATATAGCGGTTTACCTTTGTTGTCCTTCTCTATCTCCTGCTTTATTGTTTGACCTTCATAACTGACAATTTTATAATGTTCATAATTATGTGTACACATACTGACCAGTAAGTCTCTTGATTGTGTACAACACAGTCCTAATGGATACCATCCTTGTGCTGTTGTGAACTTTGCTGTTGTCTGGTGGACATCATTAATTACTCGATTTACTCTATCAATGTATAGCAAATATCCTTCGTTTGAAACTGAAATATCACAAGGATTATTCTGAAAGGTAACAGTCTCCTGTACAGAACCCTGTATGTTGATACGAGTAATGGTTTTATTCTTTCCCGTTACCCACACCTCCTCTGTATTTCGACATGCTATCCTCATCAACGGTGTTACTCCAGTGTGGAAGGATGCGATTTCTACGGCTTTTTCTTAGAAGAACAATGGATACATCTGATCTGTATATCGTTTCTGTTTGTATATTGGGTTCTATTAATTTTCCAAAATCTTGATAAAATCTACTTTTATCTATGTCTTTGAAAATGAATGCCGGTAGTTCAAGATCTATTTGTAAGGGGATCATAAGATACTTCTGAATATTTCTTTCATAGTTTGTGTTGTGACGAACGTCCATGGAATGTAAAATCTTTACGTTCTGTAGAGCAATTTCAATTAGGCTTTCAAGTGCATTTTTTATTTCCTTCTGGTATTTTTTTAATTTCCTGATGCCATTTCCTCTCATCTCTGCAATTTCTTTCTTGTTTTTTGCAACTATTTCGTCAATGAATCGCTGCCATTTTTTGCCCATGCTCTGTGACTGATTGTTCTAATTCGTCACATTTAGCATTTAAAGCCGCTAATTTGGATTCTATCTCTGTATCTGCTTGTTCAAATTTAGGAATCATATCATCTTTTAACGAGCCATATCTTTTTTCATAAGCTCTTTCTTTTCATCAACAATGCCCCTGATATCAATAATTCTATGACCATTATGGGCTCCGCTGAGACATTGAAGGCAAACATCTACATTACAGTTCTGGCATTTAACGGTACACTTTTCATCACCATGGACTTTGCAGTTTGGAAATGAAAGATGAAATTTTCTCTCGATATTTGACAATCTCGTGATTAGATGATGATGACGTCATGTAGTGTCGTCCGACGCATTCTTCACATAAGTTGACCTGGCAGGGATTACAGTGAAGAATGGCATCCTGTCACAGAGGTGACACAAGAGAATAACGTCTTGTGATTTAGTTGTACTAGAAGCCATCCTTGTCAGTGTTATGAAGGTCCTACCAATTCAATCTAAAACCATACGAAATACTCAATAAGTTCTAGGTTTAAATTTCAATATGTGTAACTCTCGCTTTAAAATCCATTTAAAGACAAGGTTAATCCTTAAACCAAGGCAATTTTTTGTTTTTGTATTTTTTTAATCCACGCTTGCATATCATTAAACTAAATTTGAATAAATATGATCAATACATACTATCCATTACTAGTCAGTATACTCCTTACATGCCTGTGTATGTTTGTTAGCCCACGATATCCAGTCAGTAACAGATTTAGAGAGATAACATTTTTCAAATGATACCCTAAATATATAAATTCTTAATTTATTTGTAGTATATAAAGCAAACAATTAACTACCTGTTTCATATCAGTATGTAGTGTTGCATAGTTTGTTAATTACAAAATTAACTTTCGTATTGAAAATATTTTTTTAAGGTATCAGTTAAAATTTCGTGAGATTGGCTACGCATCGGTTAGATACCAGGTATGATTTTGAGAAATAAATATTTTCAGATGCTACCCTGATACCGGTATGTTTATTTTTATTATACTCGTTATAAATAAAACAAAGACTATTACCTCTCTGTTTTCATAACAGTCGTGTCCCTAATTAAAGTTTCTATCGTCACAAAACTAACTTTCGGTTTGAAATGTTCAATTTTGCAGAAAGGGTTGTTTCGCTTCCTACATGAATATAGCAGTTAAATCCAACTGGGGTCTGTAGCGAAAACATGTTCGGTAAAAGGAGAGAAAAAAAATGTAAGTAGTATCTAAAGATGCAACTGAAAATTAATTTATCTACCAGATACCCATGAATCATAGAAACACTTAAGAACCACAGGCTTTTAGATTCTTAAATTAGTCTAAAAACTTTTAAACTATATTAAATATATGCATCACATTTGTGCACAAATTTAGATATGATTTTCTGAGAATCTTTAGTATATCTGATCAATGCAAAGCCGAGATACTAGACGATGGAATTTGGATCAAATTTAGCCTCAAAAGTTTAGAGAAACTTTTATAATCGTTCTTTAAGAATATTGTCTCAGAATTCATTTTGTTTTTATCATTTTCCTTAATTTTTAATCAATTCTTAGAAAAAAAATCGCACTTTGAAGGACTCAAGGTGAAAGCAATTTCACAAACTGGAAACAGACATATTTATACGACACTCCCCATGGTTTTCTCCTGTCCCCCGGCTTTTCTTGGTCACCTGAGTAAACTCAGGTGACCTATTGTAATCCGTTTTCGTCCGTCGTCGTGCGTCGTCCGTCGTTTGTTAACATTTGAACATTTTCAGCTTCTTCTCTGCAACCACTCAATCAATTTCAACCAAATTTGGCACAAAGCATTTATGGATGAAGGGGAATAAAAATTGTTAATTTCATGATCCCTGCCCCCCCCCCCTGGGGCCTGAGGGGTGGGACCAAAATAAGAAGGTAGTGAAAATGCATCATTTCTTTGAAAATCTTCTTCTCTGCTCCTAGGTATTAAATAAACTAACTTAGTACATAGTTATGATAAGCAAGAGTGCCTCTACCAAAATTGTGAATTTTATAGCCCAAAGGTCAGGGGTTCAGGTGTCAGGGTGGGGCTTCATCGATTATGTAGTGAAAATACACAAATTCTTTAAAAATTTTCTTCTCTGCTTCTAGGTATTAAATAAACTAAGTATATAGTTATGATGAGCAAGAGTGCCTCTGCCAAAATTGTGAATTTTATGGCCCCAAGGTCACGGATTCTAGTTTTAGGGCGGGGCTCTATTGATTATATAGTGAAAATACATGAATTCTTTGAAAATCTTCTTCTCTGCTCCTAGGTATTAAATAAACTAAGTGCATAGTTATAATGAGCAAGAGTGCCTCTACCAAAATTGTGTATTTTATTGCCCCAGGGTCAGGGGTTTTGGTGTTAGGGCGGGGCTCTATTGATCAAATAGTGAAGATGCCTTAGTTCTTTGAAAATTTTCCTCTCTGCTTCTGGGTATTAAATAAACTATGTAAGTATATAGTTATGTTGAATAAGGCTGCCTTTTCCAAAATTGTGAATTTTAGGGCCCCAAGATCAAGGGTTCTGGTGTTAGAGTGGGGCTCTATTGATCAATTAGTGAAAATGCATTAATTCTTTGAAAATCATCTCTGCTCCTGGGTATTAAATAAACAAATTTAGTATATAGTTATGATAAGCAATAGTGCCTCTTCGAAAATTGTGAATTTTATGGCCCCGGGATCATGGGTTCTGGTGTTAGGACGGGGCTCTATGGATTATATAGTGAAAATACATGAATCCTTTGAAAAATCTTTCCTTTGCTCCTGGGTTTTATGCTAATGATCCAAGTATATACATTTATGATGAAGAAAGGTGCATCTAGAAAAATGTTTATTTCTTATCCCCCCCCCCCTCCATCCCTGGGTCGAGGTGGGGGATACATAGTCTGAAAATAAATTGATGCTTTGAAATCTGCTCTTTGGTATTAATCAACCATTTTATGATAAAATTTGAAAATTTTTGAAATATTTGGCTCTAGGGTCAGTGGTTCCTTTGGGATTAGGTGCACAACTGGTTATAAAGTTGAAGTGCATTTTCTCTTCATTACTCTGATCTACCTCCGGTATTAAGTAAATAGAGTAAGCATGCGAAGTCTATAATTATGATAAGCAATGGTGCCTCTTTCAAAATTGTGAATTGCGAATTCCATGGCCTCAGGATTTAATCACGAACCAGATGTAATTGCTTGAAAGTTGTTGCACAATACTCAAGTGACCTGTAAGGCCCGTGGGCCTCTTGTCTGAATTTTCTTTGGCATCCGCCCTCGGAACGAGGCCAGACCCCTGTTAATTATCCTAAATCCATACATCATAGAAGTGACAAGTCTGACTTTGGGTAATCATAATGTTCTATCTCATCTGGTTTGCTAGATACAAGTGTGAAAAGCTCCCTTCAATATTAAGTTTTTAATATATAAGTTGTGCACTTTTCTCTCGTTTTATTTCATTATATTATTTTTTTGGAGATTCTTCAAAGCAGTAATTTTTTTTTCCTTTTAATTGATTTTATGTGAAATTCAATTTTCTTTATTTTCTTCTAATAATCTGATAGGACTGCCATCCGTAGTATTCCATTCTTAACTCTACGTTTTGTATTAAGTGTTCTTCATTGAAAAATGCTTTATCTTCTCTTTAAAGTTTTCTTTTGGTGATTTAGCAATTTCATTTAAATCAGTCTCAATGTCCGGGCTAGACGTTCAATATGTCGATTGTTAAGATCCTTTCCTTTACGACTCAAATTGTACAGTTTCACAGTGAAATTACCAGTTGAATTTTCATGCATTTAAATGCACTGTATTTTATCTTCAATTTCCTATACCAATAAATTTCATTTTCATTTTTTCTCTGGTAAACTTCAGACTTTACTATAGTTTATACACTTTTGCTCAAGGTGCTGGAAACAGCTCCCTTTTTTTCAAATTGTGATTTTTTTTT